GCGGTGGTGTTCCCGGGATGGGTTTTGCAAGAGGGTCGGCGTTTTCTGAGATATCTCAACGCGGAGCCCCCTTATCAGCCTCGTCGAGCCGGAGCTTGTGCTTAGAGCTCTTCAAGGGGCAGGGTCTTAGCTTAAAAACTCTGGGGAGGCAGAACCCAAAAAAAACCAAGCTTTTATGCTTTTGAGTGTGCGTGTGGCGGCCTGGCTGGGGGAGAAGTCCTCCCTCTGTGAATCCTTCTCCAGCTGACGGAGGAGAAGGATCCCAATCCTGAGGATGAGGGACCCTCTGCGCGAGCGAGCAGTCTCACAGCCCTGCCAGTCCAGCTGGACTGGGTGGGATATCCACGGCTTCAGCCTCTCGCAAAGTCGAGCCGCCCAACAGGGCAGTATCTTCGTGATCTCAAAACTTGAAATACGTTCTTCTGTCTCGCTGCAGGTATCCGGAAAATATTACGCCGGAAAGTGAAGAGGCGGAGCCCAAACCGATGGTCATTGGCACCAACAACGTTTTTGAAGTGGGGTGTTGTATCCTTGCTGCGCAGTGAGGCAGACCGCCTGATACGCTGCCCTTTCGGGCCGGTACAAGGGGAAGCACGTGCGGGCTCTGTCGGGGTTTAAGCAGCTCAGGGCTGTAGAAGGTGCAGGGTGCTGGTTTGAAAATGGCGTCGGGGTTTAGCTTTTGCACTAAATATTACAGTTTTCTTGAACACGGAGCCGTAGATTCCCAGGCAATGAAGGTGGGAGATAACAACGTCATCGAATCCAAGGGTAAGTCCCAGCTTATCTTCTTGGCCCTTGTGAGATTTTGCTCTTGCAGACGCTGGGAACAGTGGAGGATTACATGGTGGTGTCTTGCTGTAGCTGAGGCCAAATGGCAGCTTGCCACAAAGCTGTGATTTTTCACACAGAACCCACGTGTGTTTCTGCCTTGGTGGGAGCTGGGCTGGGCTGGCTCTGGCTCCTGGCGCTGAGCAGCTTGTGGTGTCGATGTCTGGTGGTGCAGGGTTTAACCGCGGCGTGGGCACGGCTCTCACCAGGGGTTCCTCTCTCCCCCTGGCAGCATTCGTCGGCAGGAACGTGATCCTGACGAGCGGCTGCATCATCGGGGCCTGCTGTAACATCAACACCTACGAGGCGATCCCCGAAAACACACTGACCCACGGGGGCGGCT